GTGAACAAAGTTATAATACCCTTGTGCACAAGTGCGCTCGGGTATAATAATAATAATAATAATGTATATACGTTTGTTGATTGTTACAGAACATTTTGTAATCGAAAAATGTTGAAATTTTATTAACAAAAACTGAGGTCTTAGTTAAATATTACAAAATTTTTGTTACCAGCAAAGAATAGGCCTAATAAAGTATACACAGAATATACTTAGCAACTACTTAATAATTTCGCATACATATTTACATACATTATATATATATATAATCGATCAACAAAAATTAAACAAAAGCACTAATGAAGACGAAGAAAGTTTACATAAATATATGCTACTTATGAACTGTGTGTTTGGTAAAAAAGAGCGGTTCATGGTTTCCCATATTTTAGTCGAAGAACTTTGACATTTTAGAAAGCTTAACGCAGAAAAGCTTTTTTGCAGAATTTGGACAATGGAAAGGCATATTTTTTTTAATGAGTGCCCTCGCATTAACTCATAAACACACAAAATAAAAATCTAAATAATTGTTAAAGACATGCATCGGCTTTAGTTGATGCAACTTGCACCAAAAAGGCGAAGAAAACTGCCGAAATAGTTAATAGTTAGCATCTGCAAAAAATATTGGTTGGGCTGCAGCCATGTCTGCCAGCGTTTCAAAGGAGAAAATTACATATGTATATCGAGCCCTAACCGCCAAAATAACGTAAGCGACATTTTTTTCAAAATTTTGTTTTTGATGCAGAAATATTCCTAGAGCATCTAGATGCAATTCTGCATCAAAAATAAAATTTAAAAAAAAATGTCGCTTACGTTATTTTGGCGGTTAGGGCTCGATATGTTAACGAATTACATTTGCCATCTCAGTTTCCAGATGCTTAGCGCATAGAGGATATAGAAACGATAAAGCAGTTTAGATTCATTTTAAAATGGATTTGGCTGCAAATGCCTCAGAAATACATAGATATAGATAGAAAATCGGATCTAAGTTGCGAGGCTAGAATTGGTCAAGTTACTTATTAAAAATTTTTAAATGTTTAAATTCAATTGAAAAAAAGTAGTTTTGTTCTCCTATGTTGAGCGATAATTTATTGTCGCTTGCACGCTTTTACCAAACACACTCTACTTGATATTTAACGATTAATTAAATTAAATTTATAAATACATAAATAAAATGCGCAATAAAAGCAAAAACGACAAAATGAATATTTAAATAAACAAACTCACGATGCTCACAACCTGTTCATTCTGAAAAAGAAAAGAAAAAAGAAAAAATAAAAATGCAGTAGTGAAATTTTCATTTGTTTATTTGTTTTTTTTTGTTATGAAAGCAGTGGTGTAGCAAAAAATTATGAGAAATAAATTTTAAGTGCGATTTAAGTAAACATCGTGGTACAATAATTACAGGTATTGTCTTCCCAGAGAGCGCACATTCTGCCTTATTTAAAAAAAAAAAAAAACATTGTTGCCCCACTAAAAGGTTTACTGCTGGGGGAAAGGGATATTTCCATACCCCATATACATACCATATACGTACATATGTACACGTATTTTCTTAAACAAACAGGGAGCATATTTAATTTGCAACAGCCGAAAAAAAACATTTGCTTAGTAAATAAATTCAAAATTTGTATGGCTAACTTCATTTCAAGCGTTTTCCTTTTGTTTTGAAAAATTATAAAAATTAAATTGAGCGAAAACAAAAAGCAAAGCCAAATAAAAGTAAAGGAATCAGCATTGAACTGGGAAGATAATACCTGTGAATAATTAATTGTACCATGAGTAAACATAGAGAAAAACAATTGGCGCTACGAATACTTCAGAAGATTTGGAAAAAAGGTTGGTTGCATTTTCATATTAAAAAAATAATGTTTACCAAATAAATTTTAATAACTCTAAAAACATGAACAAGCGTGAAGTATGTACAATCGTATGTACATACATATATCTTTAAACATCTCCGTTTTCTTTATTTATCTACAAGTGTGTTGCTGCCAGATTATTTTTAATATTGTAATTAAAAAGCAATTTACAAAAAAATCTTGTCTGGTTCACTTCCTTGCATTGTTCATTAATTTTATTACTCACAAGAAAAAGTTTATAAGTTGTTGTACATACATATGTGTATTTATCAATGTATATATACCGTCTTATTACAATCAAATTTGGGATATCTGACGAATTTTTGTATGGTGGTTAACCACCTTTTGAATACATTGAAGCTAGTCGTAGTAAGGAATGTAAAACTTGATTTGACTAGGTCAAAGCGCATTTTAAGTTATTTGGAAACGATAACATTTTCTCAGTAGCTTTTGAAGTGGAATCCGTATACCGGAGTATTTTTTATTCAGCTTACAACAATAAAATACACCAAAGAATAATAAGAATCTTTAACTGATAACCTAATAAACACGATCACGGTTGCCACTGTTGGTTTGTTTCCAACCAAATTTGGTTGTTTTTCTTTTCTTTTTCGAATTTGGTAGTTTTATCTTTGATTTGTTTTTTTTTTTTTAATTAGAAATTAGCACATTTTTTCTTTACCATACGTATTATTGCATACTGAGTGCCAAAAATTAATAAATAAATTTTTAAAGTTCTTATTTTCAGTGTAACATCCAAGCCAGCAAAATATCCGGAAATGTATCCGAAAATGGAAACCATTTCGTACAAAACCCTGATGCTTCATCCGTTTTCCGATTCCGTTTTCGGTTGTTTTTCGGATCCATTCTCCCACTAAAGTCTTCATCGGAAACGTAGGTAGAGAAAACTATCGAAAATGGTTGTGAAACGGTTGCGCTTTCCTGAAATTTGTCTGACTAAATTTTTCGTTGAAAACGATTTCATTCTGAACTTCACTGAAACCATTTTCATAGTTACAAGAAACTAAACAAAAAACAATTTTAAGATTCAGGAATTATTTTAGTTTTAATAAATACATTTACTACATACCTACATATGTATAATTTTAATGTGTTGCTTTTGACGGCATTCGGACCTGGCACCTCCTGAAAGCTAACAAATAAGAGCCTCTAAGACACCTCTGCACACTCTGCTACTGGCGCATACGTATACGTATGTTTTCAAACACTCAATGTGAGCATATATTTTAAAATTATTGTATAAAAATAACATTTTTTGGATACAAAAACAAATTTGTTTGTTTGTTTTTCAATTAGGTTGTTTTTTTTCAAATTTTGGTTGGTTATTTTTTTAACAAGTGGCAACCGTGACTACGATTTCCACTAGGGGATCCTTAAAATGCTAAGGAATATTCTATTATCTAATAATAAATATATGTACATATTTACGTATGTACTACATTTGTATATATGTATATGCACACATCTGTTATTTTGTGTGACTATTTCAGAGCAAACGAAAAAAAAAACATGTAACGTTTTAAGAGATTTATTACAAACAGACATACATATCGTCGGTTAAAGTACAAAACCGCGTATCAACAAAATGCGAAACCGTGTATGTGAGGTTGCATAAGTTATTTTCTAGAGAGTAAAAACACTCATATTTCAAAATGGTTCTCTTTTTTTATAAAGCAAGCGCTTTTCCAGCTAGTATATGTCAGGACGAATGGATAAGGATTGAGCCAACAGCTTGTGTGAGCAAATCCAATTTTTGGCAGCAAATGTCAGTTACGAGGTTTTGCAGAATGACGATACGCGGTTTTGTACTTTAAACGACGATATGTATGTAAACATAAATTCTCTAGATTAACTTTAATAATTTATTTAGTTAGAAGTCAGTTATTTCATAAAAGACTTACTACTTTGTGCTTATACTGAATTCATATCGCTAGCTTAGAGTGAAAAGTTGCTATGTCCACTTTTTATGAAAACTCATATTTTGATATAGGAGGCTAGAGAAACTGAATACGCATCGTTTCGAAAATTATAAAGGTACTTGTTTTATTTTTTCCTCTTCATAAGCAATAAAAGGAAAATTTGCTAATTCCAGAGAAGCACCACAAATCCGATAAGGCGAAAATAATACGACATCTATTAATAAATATCGAATCCTTCTGATTCTTATGGAGTTTTGCTGTGCTTTAAACGCGCAAAATGTTTGATTCAAAGTCTTGCGAAATAGTTAAAGAAAATGGCTATAGGAAGATTTTTTCCTCTCCTGTAAAATTTTTAAAATGGGACTTTTCTTTCTAAGCTAGCGATATATACATATCGAGCCCCAACCGCCAAAATAACGTAAGCGACATTTTTTTCAAAATTTTCTTTTTGATGCAGAAATGCATCTAGATGCTCTAGGAATATTTCTGCATCAAAAAGAAAATTTTGAAAAAAATGTCGCTTACGTTATTTTGGCGGTTAAGGCTCGATATGTTTATGTAAGACTCCATAGACAGGGTTGCCCTTAACCATCCAAGTATTATAAAATTAACAAATCAATTTACAAAAAAAAAAAAAATTTTGAGTTTCATTAAGACGGAAAGCTTTTTAAATGCTTAATTTTAGAAGACTGCTTTAGTTAAAACAAGTAATTTTTAAGCAAAAAACAAAACCGACTTCAATTCTCATATAGAAAGTTAAGAGTAGGTACCGTTAATTTCTTCAAGATCCCATTATCGGATCTAGGTCAAATTAGATTGGGGGACAACCTCTGAGGTACCGCCTTTCCTTAAAAAAAAAGTATTATAGAAATCAGTTAACGTGGTTCAAAGTTATGCGGCAACATACCCAAAAAAATATTCCGAAGAAATGATATGGTAAGCAGAGCGCTCTTCCACTCCGCACGGCCAGGGTTCAAGCCCTGGTCAAAGCAACATCTTTGCTCTTTAAACGACGATAGAAGGGACAGCAGACTTACGATAATCATGCGACGATAACAAGAAAAAATTAATATCTATATATATGTATGTATGTATTTATGTAGGTACATACTTTAGGGTGGCTCTTATTTTTCAGTGAGTTTCGTTGCACAAAAACTATTTAGTCAGTGCAAAATTTTAACTCAATAAGATAAACATAAAGAGTACTCGACCCCTAAAATTGAAATAAATCAAATTTTGTATACTAGGTTTACCTACATATAAATAGATTATCCTCATTTTCGAGCTTAACTCCCTAATCTGTAATTAGAAAAAGAGATTCGCCATACAAAATTCGACACTCTTTAATCTGTTATTATAAAAATATCTCAGATTAAACCGATAACTTTTCGGTGTCCAACCTAGTATTATCGATTATTTTTGCGAAGAAGAGGAGAAATGCAAGTCAGTCAGCGTCAAAAATATGAGTACCCTGACGACTTTTTTCTTTTATATTTTCCATACCATTTTTTTTATTTTGTTATAAAAATATAATTCAATCTACAGTAAAAACCAGAAGAACGGACTTTATTCAATTTCATATAGAGCTCGGGAAAATTCAAGAAATACCAAAAAAATTTCCATCAAAATTTTCAACTTTTCAATTCGATTTCTTAGCATTTGACATTTTGAGTACGCAGTTTTGTAGCCCATTAAATTTTAATACAATAAGGCGCAACTTTCAAGTCTTTAAAAATTATCGTTGATTTTTGAGAATTACGAAAAGTTTGTTTTCGTTTTCTAATAATGTTCCCGAGCTCTAACAATACGATACGTTTCAACGGCAGCCGAGCACAAACCAAACGAATCGTTTGTTCTTTTGCTCACTTGCATGGTTTCGATTGTGGTAAAGGTACTCATCTTTAATGTGACCAACTATTTCATAGCTCAAAGAAGTACAGGCTAGGTTGGATTAAGTTAACGCCGCGAGTTGATTATAAATTTTCGAATCCGGCTAATTTCGATCCCTGAGAGCTCTGAGAGTGTTTGTTCAGAATTGCGAGCAAAAATGCTTCCATCTTAGTCTCGCGAAGGTTGGACAGTCTAAATGAAAGTGTGGAGATTCACTTCATCTTCCTCTTGATAGCTGACACAAAAGGATCAGTCGAAATTCTTTGTCTCACCGCATGAATACCAACTGCACAATGGCCTGTCAGACAATTCTGTCTGCAATATCCTCAGGCACAATATTAGGATTCTACGACAGCCGCCGTTGATTGCCCACCTAGTTACCTGGTTCGGGTAACCTTGAGTCAGATCAAAAAGGGTGTACAGAAATCGTACCTTAACCTAAAGTTCCCCATCGTCTACACAGGCGATCACCAGACAGCCCACTTTTCCCAGTTCCTCTAGAAGGTGGTTTACAACCGCAATCTAGAGCAGGGGAGAGGGAACACCACTTTGTGGA